TTACTTCTTGTTCGAAATGATCTTCCGTTTAAATCTTTAAATGACATTAATCAATTATCGATAGAAATGCACTGTGAGATATGTGCACTCATATGTACGAATATTATTGTAGTAGTAGTTTATCGTTCTCCAGATGGGGATTTATTTGTTTTTTTGGACAATATCAATATTTTGTTGTACAAACTGGCGTACAGCAGCAATGTTACTATTACAGGGGATTTTAACGTTAACTTTAACGCATTGGAGAAAAATACAACCAAGTTATGTGATTTATTTACAACATACGGTTATTTAAGGACAAACTTTGTGGCCACAAGGTTGCAAAATTGTTTGGACAATACACTTATTAATTTTAGCCTGGATACTTACAGCTCCAGAATTTGTGACATTTTGTTATCAGATCATTTTGGTCAGATATTGTCTGTTAATTACCAGATAACAAAGAATTTACATACCGATCTTGTTAAAAATATTTTTAGACCCATCACAAGAAGGGGATGTAGTTTGTTCTTTAACTCGTTAACTCGAGTTAATTGGAATTTCCTGAATGATAATTATTTGAATTTTACCCATAAATTTGAAACATTGTTTAGTTACTTTATGGAAGCTTTCTTGGTGGCCTTTCCTGAAAGAGAAGGAGATGTGACAATAATATAAATTGGTTCAATGATGATTTGAAAGAAAAACGTAATAGAGTGGCTTGTGTGGAGATTATTTATCGCAATAAGAAATCACTTGAGTTGCAACGTTTAGGAAATCATCTTAAACGAGATTATAGGGATGCTATAAAGAAAGCCAAACGTTCTATGTTACGATAATTTAATCTTAAATTCCAAAAATACAGTCAAAGCTGCGTGGAGAATTATACATTCTTTCAGCAAAAATACTAAACCTCAAGAGATATCTGTAAATGAACATACTTTTAGCGATTACCTTTTTCAGTCTACAAAAGTTGCTTTTCCAAATAATTCCTATGCAAATCTTGATCCGATAGCTACTTGTAGTGCGAATATTAAACTGAATTTGGATGTATCTTTTACTTTTCACGCCGTTTCTCAAACAGAGATGCGAGATATTATTAATTCATTGAGAAACAGTAGCACTCCTGACGTGTATGGAGTGAGTACGAAAATAATTAAACATAATCGTAGCGTTCTAATTCATCCACTAACAAAATTAGTAAATTTGTCTTTTCAGTGTGCTATTTTTCCTGAACAGCTGAAAATTGCAACTGTCATACCATTATATAAGAAAGGAGGGAGATAAAAAAAGATCCTAGCAGTTACCCGCCAGTGTCCTTCTCCCAATAGTGTCAAAAATTTTCGAAATTGCCATTTATCGACAAATGATAAAGTACTTTGAATACAATAATCTTTTATTCAAGTTTCAGTTTGGGTATCCAAAAAATCAAAGCACTGCCGATGCTGTCACAGGTTTTGTGAATTATATTTTAGAAAGCTTTGAAAGGGGGGAATTTGCTATGGCAATTTTTTTAGATTTGTCGAGGGCGTTCGACTGTGTATCATATGATATTTTACTTCAAAAATTAAAGAATGTCTATAATTTCGACCAGCTCAGCCACGATTTAATTGCATCGTACTTGCAAAACAGGAAACAGGCTGTGAAGATTCATGGAAAGCTATCGGATATGAAGATGATCAATTTGGGGGTTCCTCAGGGATCCATTTTGGGACCTCTTCTTTTTCTATTTTTTTCAATGACTTCCCAGGCTATTTGTCAAATTTAACTAAGTGTCTTTTATATGCGGATGACACCACATTACTCATAACCCATGACAGTGTGGATACTGTCCTATCAGAATCACGCACGGCATTGAGCTTAGCCGAGAAGTGGTGTATAAGTAATAGGTTAACCCTCAGCCAAAGTAAAACCATACACATGGTTATGGCAATGAGGCAATTTAATTTTAATAACCCAGATCAAGTCAAATTTCTTGGTGTGAAAATAGACCCGAAATTAAATTTTATTGAACATACAAACTCTCTCGCCAAGTTAATCTGTAGTAACATCTACCTACTGCGTCGCTTATCGCAAAACGTTTCAATATCTGTATTAGTTTGCTTATTACGCTTTTATACATTGTCATTTGTGTTACTGCAACATTGCTTGGGGAAACTGCTCTAATACTGCCCGCATTTTTTCGCTCCAACGTCGGGCGGTGCGTATTTTAGGTGGACTTGCATATAGGCAAGATTGCAAACAGGTCTTTCAAGATTTTAAGATCTTAACTATCCCTAGCATTTACATATTAAATTGTATCATGTATGCCAAAAGTATGTCCAACGAAGTCAATTACGATCTGATGTTCACAATTATGAAACACGTGGAACAATTGTGTAAAAGCTTTTTTCTATTTCGGTGTTACAATGAGAATTTTGTGCAACTGTTTTCGGCAAATACAGTGTTTCAATGAGTTCCATTGTAACATTGTTTTTGGTAACTTTTCATCTCTAAGTTGGCAGTTCGCCAAGACAGACGTCAACGTCAAATGAAATCAAATTACGTAAAATGTATGTGTTTTCCTTGATTTTTGGTACACGAAGAACTTAATACATTCCAAATCAGCAGTTTACACATCCACCATAAATAAATTTATCTACGAATAAAAAATTACACATTCTCGGAATTTAAAGTTTCCAAATGTCAGTGTTGTGTTTATCTACGCTGCCAACTTAAACGTAAATGGTGTTGCCAACTTAAGACATATTAATTCTAAAGTTTCCTGTAGTTTTTCATAATTACTATTTAATTAAATTAAAGCCCCGAAATAGAAAAAATAGTATGAAAAACACGTGTTACAATGCTTTATTGTAATACTCCTATCTTGTGGACACTCGTGGCTCCGCTTCGCTACGCCACTCGTGCCACAAGATAGTCGTATTACAATACGTCGCATTGTAACACTTGTCTTTCAATATACTATTTTAGGTTGGCTAAAACCCACAAAAGTCACATTAATTTATCAATTCATTTTTTTAATTTGTTACCATTAGAAATAAGAAATTTAGAATATAAAAAATTAAAAACTAAAATTAAACTTTTTTTGTTGGAACGGGCATTTTATAGTTTGTCAGAATTTGAGAACTTTAATTTTACGAATATGTAGCAATTAATTCATAATTTTGTGTTTCTTTTCGTCACAAGGACAGTAATAAACGTTATTCTATTCTAAAAAAAAAAAAGATACAGCGGTAAAGTATAAACAATTTCGAATTTTCGGGTACAAAGGATTAAACAGTTGCGAATTTTCGAGTACAAATATTTTGGTAATAGTGTTCTCAAATATGTTTTTCTCAAATTCTCCTCAAACTCTAATTACGTTCTCCTGAAGCTTTTTCCAATTTGCTTTTGGGTGTTTTTCCAGTCTCTCCCAATTACTTTTCAAGCTTCTCTCAAGTTTTTACAAATACTTCTCCAGTTCTTGTCGAATTTCCTTACGTCCCCTCAAGCTTCATTCAGATCTCAGATTCCTTAAATTTCTCTTAAGTTCCTTGTAAGCTTTCCTTGCGTTCCCGTAGCACCACCAGATACTCTGGTCCAGCTTATCTATCCATGGAGGTCGCCAAAAAAGCGTCGAGTTTCTTTATGGATAGGAAACGGGATTGACCGGCTAGTCAGAGAAGAGTTGAATCTCCCAGTGAAACAATCCTGAATCAATGCAAACCCGTGCAGGGTGGGCGCCAGACAGGTACAAAATCCTGCCAAACTGAAACTAAAAGTAAAACGAAAGTTTGCAAAGCTCCGACACTAGAAGGGTCCGACTTCTTGTCTGAATAATCATCGATTCATTTAATTTCAATAACAAATTATTAAAGTAACCAATTCCGTATCTTAGTAATATATCAATACTATAACACTAAAGTAAAAAACAATAATCAGAACAGCTGTTCCTGTAAGACTTTGTTTCAAGACAACTAATACAGTAACGGAATTAGGTTTGTAATATAATCGATAAATGCAATAGAAAATCTTCAATAACAAGTAACAAATATGGACAAGCGGGTACAATAAATACATGCAACGATACAACAAGGGCATAAGCATACAGAAAGAATATAAGCGACGATTCTCGTGTAATACATAAAGGTTGATTGTGGTTAAGTTACATCAAAATTCTCTCCACTAAACAAGTCACTACTATTGAATATTTCCTGCTTCAGTCATTCAAGTTAATAACGAGTGAAATCTGCTGAAGCAATTTTAATTAAAATCAAGGAGTATAGTATTATAATTCATTGAGCTTAAAATATTGTAGTGGAACGACGAAATTAATCTTCAAAAAGTTAAGAATTTTCTAAAAAAGGATTATTCAATTATGTTAAAAGAAGTGTTCATCCGAAATTCAATTTCTGCGGTTTTTTACCTGTCTTACCTCTCCTTATCCGTTGCTTCCTGTTATCTAACTTTTATCTTTGAGAACAAACTTAAATAAGTGGGAGCTCTGAATTCTCGCAAACTTTCAACCGCTGTATCTTTATACTGCTAGATTAAATAAAGGAGAGAGAAACAATGTCATTTCGACTTCGCCTGGAATTCTTTTAATGGTTGCGGATATGGAGCGTTTCAAGATCTCTTTGTGAATCTAAATTTCAAGTAAATTTCGATTTCGCCAACTTCTCCACTTTAACCGCCCCGTTATATATCGCATGTAATTTGTGCGCTACAATTTCTACGTTAATCGATATCCACAACCGCGGTCGCATACCACCTACCCCCGCCCCCGCGATTATAAATCAAGCACGAAACTCAAACTTTTTTCTGATGTGATTTTCTAAGTTGGCTATTTGGAATTGACTACGTTTGCTCGCGAAATTCCAAATAATGCAGGGGTGGATTATATCCCGCTAAATATATTATCCACGAGAATCGTCCCATTCTCTGTAACGCTTTACAATAAGTCTTTCGCCGAACTGCTGTACAAAACGTTACCGTGTTGCTTTAACCAAACTTTCGGTTAATACATCTTCTCTTTCTTACAGCCCTTCCAGAGGAGGGACCGCGGATAACGGGCGGAAAACCTCGCTATCAGACCGGAGACACCGTACGAGTGAACTGCACTTCGGGACGTTCGAAGCCCGCCGCCCTCCTCAACTGGTTCATTAACGGCGAACAAGCCGACCCGAGCTTTTTACACGGCCCCGAAACTATAATCACGGGAAGAGAGGGCCTCGAAACCTCGATTTTGGGATTGGAATTCGTCGTGAAACAGAAACATTTTCGGAGAGGCGACATGAAACTGAAATGTTCAGCGACGATCGCCACAATTTATTGGCGTAGCAATGAAGAATCCGTTGAGGGTGAAAGGCCGCCCAGGGCTTCGGTGCTTGAGAGTCGCGGAACTGTTGCACCGGCCGGTTCGAGAGCCGATCGGGTTCAGGGTGAGTTTATTTTTGCTTTATTGCATGTTTGCTCACATTAAAGCAGCTTGTTGTGCTTCTATACGCTTGGTGTAGTCTCAATGGCACTGATTTTTTACTTTGCTTACAAAGTGTCAATTGCGGCTCTTTTGTAAGGTTTAAAGCTGACAAAGAGAATTTGGTTTTAAATTCAGATACGAGTGCTAATAATACTCGACGCTTTGTTAGAATCCGAAGCTCGAAACTGACCTACCGAATACGACTGCCGCGAGCACTTTAGAATCTACAATGCAAAGGAATTATGAATCACCGCAAGCACCCCATTTGAGTTATGTTTAATACGAAGGATTATCCATTGCCTTAAAATATAATTGCCAATTGAGCAATTTTCACCCTATACCGATTATGTTCGCATAATGCCAATCACTAAAAACTTTTCTGGTAAAATTGTTAAGAAGGAAAAGAGGTTCCTTGTAGTATTACTCAGGACAAATTTTAAAAAATGGTTTTTTAAAGGGATGTTTATACTCGTAGAATATTTCAGACGAAAGGAAGATTTTCAAATACTTGAATGAGAAGTTTCTCTAAAAGTCTCCCGAAATTTATAAAAAGGTCAAAATTTAGAGGTTCGAAATTATTTTCCAGATAAATGCTAGGTTTAGTGGAATCTGAAAGAATTGGTCAAGTGCAGTGCAATGAACGTGAATTTGTTTTTACGTATTTATTTCTCTATGTGGATTTGTTTCTTAATTGAATTATCGCCTTAGTTCGTTTTTGATTAGCGGAGCGGGACTTGATCAGTTAAAGAATGAATGATCACATATGTCCAAATTTGGTTAACAAGAAGCCATTTTGTAGGTGTAGTTTTTTAATGAAGAATAGTTGGGTTTGGTTTTGGAGAATTTTTGAAATGCTTTGCGTAAGATCACAGAGGTGAACAGTGCGTAAATCTTTAGGGATAATTAAAAGTAATTTAGAACTAGATTTTGAACTAACACTTGAGAACCCTATAATTAAAACCCTAAAAGAGAATCCAAGGTAACCTCTCTTTTTTGATAAAGTAAAGTATACGTGCATCTTAAATGAGAGAGCTAATTATAGATGAATGCAACAATCGTCGATGGAAATTGTAATATGACAAATCACCGAAACCTAAAATATACACTTCTATTACGGAAAATTCAAATGGCGGTACTTACGCTAACAAGAAAAAAACGCAATTATATCCTCCACATTGGAGTTTTTAGGCGAATCCGTTCACTAATTATTCCAGTATTTCCATTTTTATGAATCCAGGGCCAGAGATCAATAAAATATGAAAGGAAAGTGTCAATCGAAACTCAGTGCGCGCTAAAATTGCATGGTACAAATTCCAACAATAGATGGAGCCATCTATTCAAAAGTTACGAGGATCTTTTAACCAAATATACCGTGAACATTGAAGAATAATCATGATTCTAATGAAGAAAATAAACAAACAACCTTTGATCCTTGAATTCGTAGAAATCGATGGCTCTTGGCACGTTGGCTCTTTTCGGTTTCGAGTTAAAACGAGGAACAGACGGCCAGACGGACGGACGGACAAAACCATTACATATGGGGAAATTCTTTTGAAATGATTTCAAACCGCTAAAGCCGATTTACAAATAAGAATTAGTTTAACAACAACCTTTGCTTATTCTTAAAATCTTTAAGTGGGCTTATTATTAACGCACGTTTAGGTAGTTACGTAGTCAGAGAAGGTGTTAATTACTCTTGTTTATTATACTCACCTTCTCCCAGATTCAGACCTCCTAGATGATAGTGTTAAGATTTGACGTTGTGTCTTGTGGTATTTTAAATTACAACTTTAGAGGTCGTCGTCTGTCAGTTCTTTTATTTGAAGCACAGACAAATTAAATTAAGGACACCGTAAGAGATAATTAGCTTTATTCCTTAATTAACATTTTGCAAATGAACTATTTTCATTTACATTCCACACAATTTTCCAATAAATGCGCGATGGAAGAAACAATCTCCCTCGGCAATCAGAAAGCGCACGGGCGTTCCAGAGAATACTAAAATGGCGAGATTTGGTCATTTAAAAAACCTTATGCTAAAAGATATGACTTAAGGGAATGCATTAGTAAGAGCCAATTTTTCGTAGCTCATCCTCTGAATAAAATAATCTGATCAGACTGTGGTCGAATTTCTACCAACGTTGATCAGGCCTGCATCGGGGGACAGACTCGCGGTCTTAAATTATTAATTTCTAATATAGAATCGAGATTCAGGTGTTCCTGGATAAATTGTAAACGAGTCAGTGCAGCTTAATTTCCATTAATAATAAAGCACATGTACAAATCTGTACTTTTAACTTTAATTTATCAATTCCGTTCCTGACAAATGGCCCTATCACTTATTCATATCAGACCATGGACAGATACATATAGGATTATACCTATTTGCATATATTATCTCTGTTAATTAATGTTAATTAGAAAGAATTTACCTTGTAGTGCAGTATTCCAATAGGTAGTGGTTCTGGGTGTTTTAAATTACAGAATGCAGAAATGGCATTGAAATCTCAACAAATTAATGAAATGGGGAATAACGCAGTATTTTTAACACTTAAGTGTATAGGCGTAATTAAATGGTTTTACACAAATTGCTTGTTCTAACGATGGAATATAGTCCTTATAGGATTTTTGGAAATTGTACCTACCGCTTTGTAAAAAACGAATATATACAACTTGTAATTAAAGCAGTATTTATGATTGGATACATATTGGTAAATGTACAAACAAAACGTAATGGCATAATAAATAAAATTGTTACCGTAGTAAACTGCAAAGCTCTGTTGTTACGTGAACGTGCAATATACGACAATAAAATATTAAATTGCACACTTTTGGGATCGTACTAAGTGTAAATTACAGTAAATTCCGTCGTATGTAATTTTGCTCTCTACAAATCTATTGTGAGTATATCCCGACGTAATTTCACACCAGCCAGCAGTACGAAGTTTTACCGCACCTGATCCGCCGACTTTGATAAAACATCTCCGACATAGTAGTAGTAGGAGGAAAAATTCCTAACCGTTTAATATAACATTTGAGGATGGTATCGATCCTTGGTATTCGTTACAAGTAGGTTAAAGGAATGGTACATGTTTTATTGGAGACAAGCCAAAAAGTATTCATAAATAAATTCCCTCTACTGCAGCAGCGCTCAGTAAATTTACGACATGCACGAGAGATCTAAAATAGAGAAGGGAACGTTTGACAACCCTTAGATTGTGATACTATCAACACACGTGTTCCCCGTGGCAGGGACAACGTTATCAACGAAAGGATAATACCGTCGACTCGTAACTTTGCTGAACTGACGCGTGACTTTGTTTCTAGTGTCACAATACTCGTCCTACCGTCCAAAAAAGGTTTTGTTTAAATACCTTGCCAGTGACCCTTTTCGACTTGAACTTTTATTTCCTATTTAAGGATTTCTTATCTACTTACCTTGCAGTAAAATTTTATTTCACAGTCTCTCGGCTGTGTCTAAGAAGAGTACCGACCTTTCATCGCCAAAGACTATCGATTTAAGACGAAATGGTTCTGTTTCCGTCTCTTAACGTTATTATCAGCTTAAAAGTTGATTTATATTGAATAAGTGTCCATTTATCACCGATTGCTTCGAGAAAATACCAAAAACTTAACTCTGCAGCCATCCAATTCGTGCGATCATGCAGTTGTCTGCGATTTTGTTATATATCTTAGAATTTGTGTGTAAAATTACGTTTTATGGGAAACATTAAGTTTGATGCGTCCCACTATCATTTGCTGTGCGTATGAAAAACTTATGTTCAATCTTTTGATCACGTGCGGCAACTGACTAGTTCGATGCTCCTCGAGAAAAATAAATAAAAAATGAGTTATATGAAAGTATACATCAACATAGGATAAAGTATTTGACGAAGGAAAATGGATACACTGGCTCACGGTTGTTAATACTTTATAAGCTGCTCTATTTAGTTATAAAATTTCTAGTTACGTCACGTTAACTTATAAGATTTTCTTATATCTGAACAGTCTTGAATTTAACGCTCATTTCGTAAACAGTTTACGTGTATTTTTTGAAAGGCTCTTTAAATATCCACTTCGTCCGCTTGGAAAGTTAATTGTGAGGGCTATTTTGGATAAGGTACTTACGATAAAGGAGTTAAGTGTCACATTCATGTTTTTTTAGGATTTACTCGATCGTGTAAGGTGGGCTGACTACGTGTTGAAAAGTGTGCATTTCAATAATCTGACGATTTGAGGGTAACGTTGCTTTGAAAATTCACTAATTGAAAATCGCATTGATTGAGAGGAAATATCTTTTAATTGAGTGGAAAGGGAACTAGGTTTTGATCGTGTTAACGCGTCATATTTCAAGAAAACCTTGAGTTTCGTTTTTTTCTTGAAGAGTAGCAGAAATTTATATACTCACATTTATTTTAGCTCTTTTTAGCCAAATGCATAATCTAAATTGGCATCTATTTCTTCCGTTGGACTTTCCATAGTTTGATAGTTCAGAACATAATACAGTTACGAATATCTCAAGTAAAACATTTTGACAATTGTAAAAAGATAAATAATCTATTTCTGTTATCGTCAATCTTTGACAATTCAACATTAGTAAAAAAACTTTTTTCTCTGAGGAGCATCGTTATGTAAAGTGGTAACATTCACTAAAAGGAGCAGAAAACGGTGCAGCAGTACCCTCAACAACAAAAATTCTTCAGTAATTTCCCTTTTATTTTAAATTCTCGACGTAAATTGAAGGTATGGTCCATGATCTCTGCCCGCTTTGACACAGGGTGGTTCAAATTCGTGATTCACCATTGGGATCTCCGTACTGGTGAAATGTGCGGTGTAAGTTAAATCGGGTCACAATAATTTTGTGAGTAAAAAATTTTTTGAAAATAGATAACTGAGAAATCACCGAAAAACTGAAAATGTCAAAGTTTCTTTTCATTTTTCCTAGCATATGACCGTTTGCGC